GCCTGTGGCTCAAGCAGCTAAGGCGCCAGCCACATACACCTGAGCTGGCAGGTTCAAATTCAGCCCTGCCCGTCAAACAAAAAAAAATAGCCAGGCATTGTGGCAGGTGCCTATAGTCCCAGCTACTTGGGAGGTGGAGGCAAGAGAATAGCTTGAGCCCAGGAGCTGGAGGTTGCTGTGAAATGTGATGCCACGGCACTACCCAGGGTGACAGCTTGAGGTTCTGTCTCAAAAACAAAAAGGGCCAGGCACACCTGTAGTGCTAGCACTTGAGAGGCCAAGGCAGGTGGATTGCTTAGCTCACAGGTTCAAGACTAGCCTGAGCCAGAGAAAGACCCAGTCTCTAAAAAAAAAAAAAAAAATAGCCGGGCATTGTGGTGGGCGCCTGTAGCCCTAGCTACTTGGGAGGCTAAGGCAAGAGGATCACTTGAGCCCAGAAAGTCTGAGATTGCTGTGAGCTAAGATGCCACTGCACTCTATCAAGAGTGACCAAGTGAGACTCTGTCTCCAAAAAAAAGAAAACATAGTCAGGCATAGTGGTTTGTTCCTATAGTCCCAGCTATTAGGGAAGCTGAGATACACAGGATCACTTGAGCTCAATAGCCCGAAGCTGCAGTGAGCTATGATAATGTCACAGCACTCCAGCCTGGGTGACAGAAAAAGATCCTGCTTCTAAATAAAATTAATTAAAAAATAAAATTTTAGTCTGTAAGTTTTACACATTTCTTTTTTTTTTTAAAACAAGCTCTAGCAAGTTTTATTAAAGAAAAAATGTACATGATTTACTTTTCACCAGTCTGTTCTGGCATGCTTCTAATGATATCAGAGTCACCTGGATCAATGATGGCCAGTGTACATACTCTGCAGTATTTTCCACATGCTGTGCCCAATTCAATATTATTGCCACTGTAGTGATGAACACCAGTTTTGGCTAACATGGCATAATACTCTATTTCAGATTTCCTCAAAGCTGGGCAGTTGTTGGCGAGGATGACCAATTTCGCTTTGCCTTGTCTGATCATCTTCAAAGTCTGCTTGTACCCCAGCACATACTTTCCACTTTTCATAACGAGCTGGAGCCTCGAGTTGATTGACTCCAGCAACTTTTTCGTCTTCTTTGCGGCCACCATCTTCCTGCCCTAGATGCGGGACGGCCCCCAACCAGAACCAGCCGCCAAGATGGCCAGGGAGCCAGTTTTACACATTTCTTAATAGGTTTATTCTGTGCGTTTTATCTCTGTTGCTAGTGTAAATGGAATATTCCATTATATCTTCTAACTGGTTGTTGTTTGTACATGAAAAGTATTTATTTCTATGGATTAAGTTTACCTTGCTGAATTTTTCTATTATTTATAGTTAAGTTTTTCAGTTGATTATTTTGGATATTTCAAGCATTTGATCATATTACCTATAAATAGAGATGGTTTTATCACCTTCTTTCCACTGTCTTTACCTCCAATTTTTTTTATTTGTATACTTGTTTTGACTGGTACTCCAAAACAATGTTATTTAGTATTAGTTATAGTGGGCATCATTGTCTTTGTTTTTCCACTAAGTATGAGGTAGATGAATTGGAGATAGCTGATAATGTTATAGGAGTATCTATTGATTAGTATTTTATTACCTTTTCAAAATTAAGAATGGGTGCTAAATTTTTCAAATGCACTTTCAGTTATATAAGACAACTATGAACTATGCAAGCCATCCTTGCATTTCAAAAATTCTACCTCACAGCTATTTAATCGAAATAGTCTAAAATTAAAAGAAAACAGGATTAATACTTATTTCAATTTACCATTTGTCCTTTGACTTTATTTATGACTTATTTTTATGCTGTATCAAAATTTTAGTTTTTTTCGCCTTGGGTCTATTTATAAGATGTTTACAGTGTTAGATTTCCTAATATTAAGTCAATCTTGCATTCCTGAAATAAATCCATTTGATATACAATAATATTCTTTTGAGATACAATAACTTTGGTTTTGACATCAATGCATAATAAGAATGTGGTAGCTTTCCTTCTTTTACTATGCTCTATTAGAGTTTAAAATAAAATTGACAAACTACTCTTTAATGGTCTGACAGAATTCCCTGATGAAACCGCTTGGACCTGGTATTTTTTGCAGGGATAGCTCTCTGAAAATTTTTCTATTCCATGTGTAGAAATTATTCTAATAGATTTTCTTTCTGTGCTTTTTTTGTTTGTTTCCTCTGGTATTATTTTTTGTCTTTTAAATCAGTTGCTTAATTCATTACTTTTCCTCTTTTTTTTAACTTTTTTTTTTTTTTACAGTTTTTGACCGGGGCTGGGTTTGAACCCGCCACCTCTGACATATGGAGCCAGCACCCTACTCCTTTGAGCCACAGGCACTGCCCCTTTTCTCTCTTTTTTTTTTTTGAGACTGAGTCTCAAGCTGCTGCCCAGGATAGAGTGCCATGGCTTCAGCCTAGCTCATAGCAACCTCAAACTCCTGGGTTCCAGCGATCCTCCTGCCTCAGCCTCCTGAACCCAGGAATACAGGTACGCACCACAATGGCCAGCTAACTTTTTCTATTTTTAGTACAGACAGGTATTGTTCTTGCTCAGAAAGGTCTCAAACTTCTGAACTCAAGGGATCCTCCTGCCTTAGCTATGGAATGCTAGGATTATAAGCGTGAGCCACCGCACCCAGCCTGATTCTTCATTTTCATTGCTACAATTACTTAAAGCTAAAATCATTTTGATTTTTGAATAATGTGAATATATTACCAATTCAAAAAATTAAATTTTGGCTCGGCACCTGTGGCTCAAGCGGCCAAGGCGCCAGCCACATACACCTAAGGTGGCGGGTTCAAATCCCCAGCCCGGGCCCGCCAAAACAACAATGATGGCTACAACCAAAAAATGGCCAGGCGTTGTGGCAGGCGCCTGTAGTCCCAGCTACTTGGGAGGCTGAGGCAGGAGACTTGCTTGAGCCCAGGAGTTGGAGGTTGCTGTGAGCGTGATGCCATGGCACTCTACCCAGGGGGATAGCTTGAGGCTCCGTCTCAAAAAAAAAAAAGAAAAAAATTAAATTTTAAAAATTAAGAGAAGATAAATTAATTCTAACAAACATTTTAACTAGAGGAACGTGGCAACAGGGAGACCGCTTTCTCTACAGAGTAATTTTTTTTAAATGAAAAAATTAAAAAGAAAAGGGAAAAGAAAAAGAAAAGCATAATTAAAGCACAAAAGAGAAACTCACAAAGTTCAATTGTAAAATGATACAGCCAATTTGGAAAACAATAGATGCATACAAGGAAATATTATTCAGCACCTATAAGCCTAGCACTTGGGGAAGCTGAGATATATGGACTGCTTGAGCTCAGAAATTTAAGACCAGCTTGAGGAAGATCAAGACTCCATCTCTACTAAAAGTCGAAAAACTACCCAAGCATCGTGGCATACCTTTAGTACCACCTACTTGGGAGACTGAGATGAGGATTGCTTTAGCCCAAGAGTTTGAGGTTGCTATGAGCTATGACATCAAAGCACTCTACCCACATCAACTAAGTGAGACTCTCTCTCTCAAAAAAAAAAAAAAAAGAAAGAAAGAAAAGAAAAAGAGGCCAGGCACAGTGGCTCATACCTGTAATCTTAGCACTCTGGGAGGCCGAGGCAGGTGGATTTTTGAGCTCATGAGTTTGAGACCAGCCTTAGCAAAAGTGAGACCCCCGTCACTACTAAAAATAGAAAAAACTAAGGCAAGAGGATCACTTATGCCCAATAGTTGGAGGTTGCTGTGAGCGATGATGCCACAGCACTCTACCCAGGGTGACAGCTTGAGACTCTATCTCAAAATAAATAAATAAATAAATAAAATATTATTTCACCCATAAAAAAATAAAATCCTGACACATACTACAACACTAAATAAGCCTTGAAAACATTATGCTAAGTGAAAGAAGCTCGTCACAAATAACCCCATGTAAACTGACCTCAGCAACCAAATATTAAAATTTTCCTCTTTTCTTTAGCACTTACCTTGAAAAGAATCCAATTTCGCTTTAATTAACATTCGTAACCTTCCCACTTCTTGTCTTTTCAGTTCATCAAGTTTTGTCCTCACATGATGACTTACTAAGTCCAGCTCTTTACTTAGCCTCCCACTCTATTAACAAAATAAATTAGTTTTATCTATTACATTGATTTTTAGACGGGATACAACATACAAAAAAGGGTTATAATAAATTAGTGATAAATACTTTTGACCAATTTAGATAAATTTTATATTATAAAAAATGTTTCTTTGACAAGAGATTCAGTTTGTAATTTTAAAAGCAAGATGTCTAAAAAACATACAATTTACCTATAATCCAAGCACCCTAAGGAGGCCAAGGCAGGTGGATCACCTGAGCTCATGAGTTCAACACCAGCCTGAGCTTGAACAAGACCCTGCCTCTAAAAATAGCTGGGCATTGTGGTGGGTGCCTATAACCCAGCTACTCAGGAGGCTGAGGCGAGAGAATTGCTTAAGCCCAGGAGTCTGAGGTTGCTGTGAGCTATGACACTATAGCACTCTACTGGGGCAACAAAATGAGACTCCATCTCAAAAAAAAAAAAAAAAAAAATATATATATATATATACACATATATATGTATGTGTATATATATAAAATTTTGACAAACAGACTGGGCACAGTGACTCATGCCTCTATTCCCAGCACTGTGGGAGGTAGAGGCAGGAAGATTGCTTAAGCCCAAGAGATCAAGACCTGCCTGGACAACATAGGGAGACCCCAGTCTCTAAAGAATAATTTTAAAATGAAAAAATTAGAATTTAAAAAAGGGAAAGAAACAGAAAGTACAAAGAAGAAACTCAAGCAGTTCAATTATAAAATGGTACAGCCACTTTGGAAAATAGCGTATCTATACAATGGAATAGCCATAAAAAAGAATGAAATCCTGACACATGGTACAACACTAATAAGCCTTGAAAACATTAAATACATGATGCTAAGTGAAAGAAGATGGTCACAAATGATCACATATTGCATGACTTCTTTTATATATAATGTCCAGAACATGGAAATATACACAGAAAGTAGATTTGTTGTGGTTGAAGAGAAAGAAGTAATTAGGAGTCATTGCTTAATGAATTTCTTTTGGGCATAATGAAAATGTTCTAAAATTAGAGGTGATGATCATATGACTTTGGACATACTAAAAATAGATAAATAACAACTTTTAAAAACACTGAATTATCTGAATTATATGCCTTTAAGAGGGTGAATTTTGGCTCGGCACCTGTGGCTCAAGTGGCTAAGGTGCCAGCCACATACACCTAAGGTGGCGGGTTCAAATCCAGCCCCGGCCTACCAAACAACAAT